ATATTAACATGAAATCTCTCTTCCTTCTTTGGAAATATTAAAGAATTTTTTATTCTAATTTTCGATACCCTTAGAATGCTTTTCAAATTATTTTTACCACTTCACCATTTTTAGTAAGTAAAGTTTATATTCCAATCAAATTTGCAAAAAAAAAAATTGCAAAATATGTGAAACAATGATGGCACTGAAGGGAAAAATATATGAAGTTACAGTCACAGCTAGAATTTCAACATCCCTCTCTCCATAGTTAGAACTGCTGGATGTAGTTCAGAAGAGATCCGGAAATGATGATACTGAGCATGTGTAAAGAACTGCTTATGTTTTTTTGGAATAATAGCATTTAAACTTTAGGAAGCATTTGTCAGTTTGCTGTTACCTAAATGCCATTTTGATTTTCAAAAACCATCACAAACTTACATTATTCCTGTTCTTTGAAATATAAGCAATGTTCCTCATGCTTTGTGTTTATTCGTCTATCCATTCAATAAATATTTACTGATACCTACTATATATGTTCTATTGAACACTACAATCTATGTCATTATTTTTGAAAATCTCAATCATTAACTTCTGTATAGGAGGAGCTATTCAGCAGTTTTTATTTAGTGTGAATAAGATAAAATGTTATGAAGCTATAGGATTGCATTAGTCTGATTGGGCTGCCATAGCAAAATATCATAGGCTGGGCGGTTTAAAAAACAGGAACAATTTGTCACAGTTCTGGAGACTGAAAGTCCAGGATCAAGGTACCATAATGGCCTCTTTCTCTTTGACTTATATCTTGGCCATCTTCTCACCTTGTTCCCACATAGACTTGACTAGGTACAGAAACTGAAGTCATTGTATGGTCTGTTGTGTGTTTGGGGATTTTTTTTTTTTTTTTGAGACAAGATTTAGCACAGGCTGGCTGAGATTCCAGGCGTGCACCACCATACCTAGCTTCTTCATTTTCTTAGGCTATCCTATTGGTCTAAAGCACTTATTTTTATTATTTAATTTAACCGTATTTACCACTGAAAGACCCTGTCTCCAAACCAGTTTACTGGAAATTAGAGCTTCAACATATAAATTTTGGGAAATTCAGTCCACAGCAAAGGTTTTTATTAGTTAACAAAGCACCCTTTACTCCTATCAGAAGCTCTTTGTGTAAAAGGAACTCTTGGGTGGTGCACACCTTTAATCCCAGCACTTGGGAGGTAGAGGCAGGCAGATCTTTCTGAGTTCAAGACCAGCCTGATCTACATAGTGAGTTCCAGGCCCTCTGGGGCTACAAGGAAACCCTTCTCAAAAAGATGAGAGAGAGAGAGAGAGAGAGAGAGAGAGAGAGAGAGAGAGAGAGAGAAAGTCTGACTCTTGGAATTATAGTTCTCCCCAGCACCCCGTTATTACAGATAAGAAAACAGTCCAAAGAGAGAAAATAACTTGCCTGAGGTCACAGAGGCAGTAGCAGAGGCCATCTCCTGGTTTACCCCAAGCATGGCCTGGCTTTATCAGGATGGCTGCTCTGTAGCACTAGCCCACAATTAGGCTAAGCTTCTGGTCTCAGCAGGGTATGTTTCTACCCTGCATTCCATGAACAATTCCTGTTCGTTTCCTGAAACATTCCTCTTCACATTCACCCAAACATCACATCAGTGCTCCTGACCAAAATCTCTTGCCTGAAGATCCAAATCAAATTCCTCTTGTGGATCCTGGGCTTATCAGAACCACTTTGGGATCTTTATTATTCTTTACCATCTGAATGTTGATTCTCTACAATCTGCTACCATCAGTCATTTGAAAGGAATCATTTTTTGCATTGGAGAAGGAAGGTTCATCAAGGCCTTTGCTTTATCTGGAACATGGGCCTTGTTGAAGGCAGGCTTCCTATATCAGCAGATGGCTTGCCTTCTCACCCACCACCATCTCACTCTCTCTCTGTCTCACTTTATGGATTGAGAGTTGATGTGCTACGGGAAGACTTTATAAAACTGAGCAGCAGACCTGGCCAAGCCATCAGCACTTCTGGTTCAGTCTTTCCCACTCACAGAAGAACCTCTCCTCTGTGGGCTGTGACTTCATTCCTATCCACAACAGATATCTGAGCATCAGGCAGATTACACAGGTGACCCAGTATGAAGGCAAGGTTACAGGTAGCAGTTCACTTGCTACTACCCACTCCCATTTTCCCTTCCTTTTTCCTCTTTCCTTTCTCTCTTTTCTTGATCTTTTTCCCTTAGATTTGCTAACTCTTAAGCTTATACTATTCAAACATTTCTGCTATCTGGAAACTAATATTGCCACCACTGTATCTGGCCGGAGATGCTGCCATTGGTCACTTGGTTGGTTTGGCTGTTTGGTTTATTGCTTGATTGGTTGACTGGGTAGATTTTTCTAATGATACTTGGTTCAGCAATACAATAACCACAAAATATCTGAATTGGGTGAGCTGGTCCTTAAACTCTTACTGCACATAGAAGAGCTTTTATAAAATGCTGATGCCTCAGTCCCACTTTCAGAGATTCTGATTTAATTTGGTCTTGGTTTCAAAGGCTCTCCAGGTGATTCTCACGGGTATCCAGGGTTGAGAATCTCTGGTTAGCACTAAAAAGGTTGCCTAGGCAACCATTGATCTGATACTTAAATATCTTCCGCTGGGAAATCTACAATGATGACTTTTTCAGGTGATTTTCCTCAACTGCTGCTGGAGAGGAAAGCAGCAGGCAGTGGTTAGTAGTAGACCAGGACCACCCCTTAAAACGCCAACTGTGCTCAGGTGGGGATGTGGCTCAGTGGTGAAGCACATACAGAGCATGCACACTACTCTGAGTTTGATCACAGCACACAAACACATGCACACACATTTGTATGGTGCTCAGTGCTCAACTGTGGCCCTTCCTGAGGTGAAGGGGATATTCCTGTAGGTCTATAGTTCAGTGGCATATTTAGCTCAAAAGGGACACTTGACAATGGGGATATTTTAGATATAACTTGGAAGAATGCTATGGGTATCTAGTAGGTAGGGGTCAGGAATGATGCAACACATCTTACAATGCATAGGCAGCCCCCACAACAAAGAATTACACAGCACAAAATGTCAGTAGAGCCAGTGGTTGAAAGCCCTTTTAGATCCTTACTCTTGGGTTCCTCCTTCAAGAGGTATCATCATGAATGGAATTAGTCCTGAAGTGTTTCCTTCAGTCTAAGGCATGGTTTCAGTGGTCTTTTTCAAACTTTTTCACACTTTGCATTTTTTTAAAGTAGTCTCAGAATGTGATGATCCCCTTTGCTCCTTAGAAATGAAGGCCGCTGCCTGACTGCACATGTCAGAAACAGCCTAAGCCTAAGCCCAGTGCCACCTTTCCCATTTGATGCTCACTTTTCTACCTGGCTGCCCTCCTGAAATCCAGGATAAGCACAGGCCTGACCCAGATGAAAGCCCTGCCCAGGCAGCCTTCACCAAGGGTCACAGCCAGTGGAGCTAGCCCTAGGGTGCAGGTCACTCTAGATGTGCCTTGAGGCTGCTGGGAATATGAGCCATCAGCCAGAGCCCTGCCCAGGCAGCCTTCACCAAGGGTCACAGCCAGTGGAGCTAGCCCTAGGGTGCAGGTCACTCTAGAAGATGTGCCTTGAGGCTGCTGGGAATATGAGCCATCAGCCAGGCTGCATCAGGCCTGCTGCCTCATTGATTAATAAGTGCTGCACTGACATATTGAGCAGGACCTGCACCTGCTGATTTTTCTCCCTGCTTTCTTTGATCAGTTCATTATTAAATTAAAGATTGTTGTGATTTAAACGGAACCATCAGGAAGCCTGGGGACAAACTCAGGGTTTGGGGAAGAAACTGAAATGGGCACTGCATTTACCAAATCCAATCTCAGCTGGGTGCATTTTTCTCTCTTGTAAAGAAATAATTCAAGACTCCAAAGACTGGAAGTAGAAGTAGAACCTTCGCCTGCAGTGTCAGGAGCCCACACAGAGAGGCTGGCATGCCGGCAAAGGGAGCTGATTATAAATAGCATGAAAGCAGCATCAGTCAAAACTCACTGATGTGCTGGAGCAAAATGTTAAAGAAATAACTTGAGAGAGAGGGAGCAATGGCTCTCTTTATTTTTATAACTGAAATTGCCAAGGAACAAAGCAGTTTATAGTCATACAGGTGTAAGCACACTCTCCCTACAGCATGCACACACCACACACACACACATACACACACTCCTACAGCGTGCACACATGTAGAGACACACACAAACACATACATACACCCCCTCCAGAACACACATACTACAGCATACATATACACATATACATATAGACACCTCTACTGGATACATACTCATAGCATACAGACATATACATACACACTGCGATAGCATATACATATATACACACAGCTAAAGAACCACACACAGAGACACAGAAAAACATATACACATACTCCTATAGCATACACACATATACATACAACATATACATACAGCACATACACCTACAGAATATACATACACAAACATACACACACACACACACACACACACACACACACACACCAAAAAAATATGTATATATAAATGTGCGATAGAAATTGATGATATATATACATATAGACACCTCTACTGGATACATACTCATAGCATACAGACATATACATACACACTGCGATAGCATATACATATATACACACAGCTAAAGAACCACACACAGAGACACAGAAAAACATATACACATACTCCTATAGCATACACACATATACATACAACATATACATACAGCACATACACCTACAGAATATACATACACAAACATACACACACACACACACACACACACACACACACACACACATCAACAGAACCCCTTTAAAGAAATGATGGATAGCCATTAAACATAACAGAATCACAAATGGCCAGAACCTCACAGAGGCAGCAGCTGTCCTTTTTCCATGTCATTGCATCTACTTATTTAAAGTCTATGGTTTCCACTTGTGAAGCCATTTTTCTGTATGGGTATTTTTCTTCCAGCTGAGATGGAAACCATTTGAGATTCCCAAAGCATCTCAGAAGAAAGTGGACTTTGTGAGTGTAAGTCAATATTCTCCACAGCTTCCCACTGCCCTTCTCTGTCCTGCGGTGAGTGATCTAACCATCTGCAGAAGGAATGCTAAGCAGAAGCAGCCTGAGCCGGAGGCAGCAGAGACAAAGCCACCTGTGTGTACCGTGGGGGCGGCTGAGGGATGTCTTACTTACGGGTACCATATGGCTCCTGACACAAGGGCACCCAGGAGCTTTTCACCTCACAGAAAGGCAAATGAGAATGAACATTTTTTCCCCCTACAGCTCCTCTTTGGGTTAGAGCAAGTGTTCTTAACCTTTTTGATCCATGGAGCCCTTTGATGGTCCTGTGACACTAGAAGGGGGCATCACATCTCTTGGAGCTAGAGTTACAGGAAGTCGTGAGTTGCCCAACATGGGTACTGGGAACAGAACTCACATCCTCTGGAAGAGCAATATGTGCTCTTAACCACTGAGCCATGTCTCTAGCTCCCTGTGTTTTCATTTTTGTGTTTATGTATTTATTTTTGAGACAGGATCTCCCTGTGCAGCCCAGGTTGCCCTTGAACTCATAGCCAACATTTTGCTTTAGTCTCCCAAGTTCTGGGCTTACAGCCATGAGCAACCAACCACACCTGATATCATCTGTGTTTCTGAGTAAAATAAATTGCATCAAATTACAAAGACAATTAGGTTGAAATACAATGATACAAATATTAAGTGAAATTGTGCTTCTTTTGTGGTTATAAACATGCTTCCGAATTAATGGACTAGATCATAAGACCTATGGGAAAATCTAATAACTATAGTATGAGCCTAAATGGTATTCTGAAATATCAGTGATAGACAATGTAAAAATGTCTAGAATTTCAATCATGGACAAGGTTTCGGGTACTTTTAAGCCTGCTGTGGTTTGCTCTCTGCATTCATATTAACTGAAGAAAATGATAAATTCCACTCAGACTAGTAAAAAAATATATATATATATAAAAATGTTCCCATCAAGAACATGGACCTCCTGAAATGGATGCCTGGCCTGGAATGACATCAATTCAGGGAGGCAACTCTGATTAGTACAGTGCTCAAGTGCTGGGAGTACTGAGACACCTGCACCTGTACCCAGGTGTGTGTGGGTGAAGGGCCCGAGAGCTGTCAGAGGTAGGGCTTGAAGAGAACAGTGGAGGGCTTTGCAGGCCAGTGTGGCTCATGGCTTACTTTTAGACAATCCAAGTGCCCAGCTACAGGACAAATGTTTAAATCACCTTGAAGCCTTTATCCTTAAAAAGTGCCCCAAACCCTGTGAAGACTCACTTCAGTAGACCCCAAACCTGTAAATCAAGTGACAATATAAAAAGAACCATCCTTCCTGTGTGAACTACAGATCTCTGAGGAACAGAGCCTTTTCCATTTTGGCACCCTTCCTGCAGGGGCTGAGGGCTGGCTTCTTGTACCATGGATCATCTGGTTATATGACAGAGGGAATTGCAGTCAGCTGCAAGGAATTCTGTCATGCTCTGGAAAGATTAGGCAGGCCTTCTTCATAAGAGAGGACTGTCCACAGGGTGGGGAGGTATTGGGGGAAACTAATTTGCAACAGAAGTTTGGCTTTGGAACTTCCCCACAAAACCCTCCTATATTTCAGATATCACCTCCAACAGAACCTCTTCTCCAGGTTGATCCTAAACATAATAAAATGTCAGTGTTTAATTTATTAAAAGTAATGACTTCATGCCCTGTAAGTTTGTCTGATGTGGCCATTCAGACTGTCTAGACAAGGTCATGGAGATCAACTAGGATGAGCCACAACCTACCAAGAATAAATCAATCAATTTCAGGCAGCTTAGGTCCCAAATACCGCCCCCCCATCTCAAAGGGAAGACTCTATTAGGATCTTGCTTCATGACCCTAGGTGCCAGAGGGAGGGCTGAGTCTCTTGGGCACTACTCATTTTCACCTTCTCCTTCCTCTCCCAGGGCCTGCACACCTTGTGTGGAGCTGGAGACATCAGGTCTAACAATGGACTTGCCATCCATATTTTCCTATGCAACTCCTCCATGGAGAATAGGTAAATACCTAGGGCACGGTATACCTAGTCCCCAGTGTGTGTTGGTCAGAGGGTAAAGACTTCATAAAGTCGAATATGCACAAATATTATTCTTTTTAAACTGCTTTTTCCCCAGAGAAAATGCTGACATATGTTTATTGATAATGATAACAAATAAGCATTTCTATTCCGAATAAACAAGAATGTCCCATAAACAAGAACAACCCAACTGTATAAGGAGAAAGGAGAGGAGGGGCCTGTCATGAAGGGGCAGTTCAAGTAGGTAGATTTGGGCCAAAATGTAATTAATTTCTAAGGTTCCCTAGGGCTGTTCTAAGCCAAAGTCACTGCATGGGCAGCCATGAAGGCAGGCTAACAGACTTAACTTCAGTTAATAGCTAGTTACTTTGTGTAAGTGGAATGTTACTGAGCTGCTTTGGTGGGGGGAGGCGTAGGTGGGATTTGCATGCCATGGTTCACATGGGGAAGTCAGAGGGCAGCTTGTGTGAGTCAGTTCTCTCCTTCTACCATGTGGGTCCTGGGGCTCAAACTGAGGTCCTCAGGCATAGTGGCAGGTACCTTTACGTGATGAGCCACCCACTGGCCTCTGTATTCTGATTTTTTTTTAATTTTGAAGTAAATTATATTCTTGCCTTTTCTTGGGGAAGCAGAATACCATAGCAGCTTTGCGTGGACCTCTAGAACTACATTGTTAAGCTCAAAGCCAAACACCAATCTTGCTGACTTGATAAACTTGTACAAACCATTCAACTTCTTGAGCAGCGAATCAAGGCCAAGATCACAGCCCCATGACAAGCAGTGAAGACCTCTCTTTGGGTCCAGCTTCCTATCAGACCACATCCCCTCTTTCCACTCAAGATACACTGGCCTGCCTTCCTTACTTCTCTCAACATGCCATGAGCTGTCTTGCCTCAGAGCATTTGAACATGCGTCTCTATTTGCCTAGAATACCTTCTTCTCCTGCCTTTGTTGTCTTCCCACACCAGAGCAGGTCCCCATTCTTTCATTCCTTTGAATCTGACTTTCATAGTACCATTATGGTTTGCAGTGATAGAGTTCTGTAATTATGTGTTTCCTGGCTGAGTCTGCCAGACTCTAAGCTCCACAAGGGAGCTTCTGCTCACCACTTTATACCCGGCACCTGGTCCATGGTAGGCACTAAATAATAATTTATAGAATGAATTAACTTGACTAGATAGTGTTAGAATGTAAAATCACCAAAATTCTGTATGTTTCAGATGCCTTTATAATTCAGATGGGGATTTTCTGATTGGTAAGTTCCGAAGATTTCGGATCCTTCACTATGAACTGATCCCTTGCCCCAAGCTGAATTTCAGTTTTCTGCACATTATTTGCATGCATTTCTCCTCTGTTTTATTTCATGATGTACCATCTACAGAGTAAGGTCTAGACACCACTGCTGGTCTGGAAAAGATCCCTAGCATATCTCAAGTGCTTACTGTATTTCCTGGCCTTTCTGTCTGTGCCTGTCTCTTCTGGGTCTTTATGATGGAAGGTTTATAGGCAGCTAAAAAGAAACAGAAGAGGGCTGCTAACATGTGAGTAACTTATTAAGAAACTATTCACCTTTACACACACCTGAGGAAAGCCCATCTCTGATAAAGACAATTCAGATACATATTTTATGAGGCCATCTAAAATGTGAGGCCTGCCAGAGATGATTCTGGTCTTCCCATTCCATTTGGGTTTTTTGGTATCAGTATTCTGTCAGTGAACATTTCAGTGGAGTCATTAAATATACAAATGCTGCCCTCCTGCTGAAATTGTCAGAAATGAGTGGTTTTCCATCCTATTTCTATGACACTTTGGGGTCCGTTCACAAAGCATACATATAACGAGTTCCTCACAAGGCAGAAAAAAGGGGAGGAGGGAGTCATTTTGAAGAATTTTCAAATTCTTCTAGATAGTAGGAGATAGTAGTGGACCAAAATTGTCAGAGCATACATTTACCCCCTAGAGACACAATAAAACTCTCTTCGTTTGGAATGAAAAACAAATGCATCCCTTAAGCTTTCATGAAATGGTTCTTGCATGAAAAGTGTTGCTCACCCACCACTGCCCTGTCTTTTTTTGTCAGTTCCCCAGAAAGGGAAGCTTCTCATTTATACAGAGTTTGGCAAGATGCTCCTGCAGCCCAATGAGATCTGCGTCATTCAGGTTGGTAATGAGCCCCCTCTCCCCGATGCCTCCACCTAATTTGGGAGCAATCAGATGTTTCAACTGCTGCTATTTCTAACTCTAAAATGTCTCTGTCATGTCTGAGCAACAAGGAGGAGTTTGAATTACACAGAAGGCTGTGGGGTAAGCAGACTTGGTGCCTGCTTTTGTTTTAAACTACAAGCGTGATTTAAGAGGGCACGCTTATGTCTCTTTCCTACAGAGAGGAATGCGCTTCAGCATTGATGTCTTCGAGGAGACCAGGGGCTACATCCTGGAGGTCTACGGTGTTCACTTTGAGTTACCTGACCTGGGACCCATTGGTAAACCCTTGCTCTGCCTCTAAGCCTTGCTTGAGATATAGGAAACAGGTCATTACGTCTCTCCCTCACTCACTCAAATTTCAACTTCTCAGCCAAGTGCCTCCCAATAAAATACGTGCATAACAGAAAATGACCCAAACCAACCTATTGTAAATGTCTCTAAAATAACATTGAAGATAATGCAGTATTTAATAGGTGTCTGATTATATAGTATATACAGCAGAAGTTGTAGAAGTTTGGGTTAGCCGGGCGTGGTGGCACACACCTTTAATCCCCGCACTTGGGAGGCAGAGGCAGGCAGATCTCTGTGAGAGCTTGGTCTACATAGTGAGTTCCAGGACAGTTGGGGCTACAAGGAGACTCTGACCCGGGCATGGTGGCACACGCCTTTAGTCCCAACACTCGGGAGGCAGATGCAGGCAGATCTCTGTGAGTTCAAGGCCAGCCTGGTCTACATAGTGAGTTCAGGTCAGCTAGGACTACAGGGAGACCCTGTCTCAAAAAGACAAAAAAAAAAAAAAAAATAGGGAGTTACTATAGGCTGGGGTTCATGGGAATACTTTCTCAAAAGATGAGATTTGAGATTTGATTAAATTCTTTTTTTTAATTATTATTTTTCTTTGAGACAGGGTCTCATGTATACCAGGCTGGCCTCCAACTCTCTATGTAGCTGAGAATGACCTTGAACTTCTGATCCTACTGCCACCACCTCCTAAGTGCAGGGATTATAGGTGTGTACCACTATGCCCAGCTTATGTGGTACAAAGGATTGAACCCAGGGTTTCATGAATGCTAGGCAAGCACTTTATCAACTAAGGTACATCCCAGTCCTGAAATTTGATTAATCCTTGATAGAATATTGAAAAGAAGAAAGGAAGAAGGGGAACAGTTTAAGCAAAAGTATGAAAATAAGAATGAACTTTATGAATAATTGTTTTCTTACGTCAGTGAACTGTGTGCTTTCACAATAGAGTGGAGATAGCTATAAAATGACCTGGGCTTTATTCTTCTGGAAAGAAGGAATGGACAGTGTGACATATATAGCCTATGAGCATCACATTCCTCCTAAACACACTTCGCAAAATCTGCACACAGTAAATAGTGATTACTCTGAGTTATGAAGGAGCTAGAAACAACAGCCCCTGTGAGGTGCATTGAGACTTCCAGACAAGGTCTCCCAGCCCCTATTCTTCCAACAGCTCAAGGAAGGAGTTTCAGAGGTAAGCAAAGATCTTAGGAGCAGTTGTTCACAAACCTCCCTCTGAGTGAAAAGCAAGCTAGGAAATTACCCTTGGTTTCATCTCTGGCCACGCCTCCCAGTTCTTTCCTTCCTTGTCAACAGCTTTTCAGAGCCACAGGGACAGGCCAGCATGTGCCTTCTGGTCACTCCCCTGGGGATCCAAATATTCAGAGGAAGGTGGGAGGCAGCAGAGAGGCAGCTGGAGCCTTGGTGGGCTGGCTGTCATCCTGCTTGCCACCCACTCTCCCCACTTTGGTCTGGCTTCCTGCGGCTCTGCAGGCAGCATAGCCTCCAGGTTCCACAGAACGTGTACCCTCTGGAAAATATATATAATTTACTAACCAGCTGGGTTTTTTTTTTTGTTTGTTTTTTTTTTTTTAACCCGGAGAGCTGGAAATGATATTTAAAAAAAAAAAAAAACCCACTTCCCAGGCCTCTCCTCTCAGAGTTAAATTATGTTTTTGCACTTGCACTTTTTCCATATTTTGGCTTTTGATTTATTTTCTTTCTCTGGCGGGAACACTCACTCCTAAATAAGGCTAGGCAGACAGATTCTGAGACCTTTTTCTCTGAGTGGCAGGCAAGTTTTTTTCAGGCTGAATAGCAGCCTTATAGACCTGGATTTTGAGTTCTGTCTGAGGCCTATGGCACACAGCCTTTCTATGAGAACAAGGACTAAGAAAGACAGAGATTTGTCATTTTGTCATGTCTTCCCTTTTCCTCTTTTCTAGTCTCTTCCTCTCTCCTACACTTGTAGTAAAATTAGTGACGAGATGATGCCTGTAAAATGATTATGTTAATGACAGTCACTCTATAACTTTAGGAGATGGTGCTGGTGGTAAAGATTTTTGAAATTTTTTTTTTCTAACCAAGTCCCTTGGGTCTTCCAACAAAGCTACCTGACTGAGAGTCAACAAATTCTATAGTGCTGAGGATTGAACCCAGGTCCTCACATATGCTAAGCAAGTACTCTACCACTGAGCTGTATCTCCAGCTGGGAATTCAGCAAATATTTGAGCAATGAAAGCAATATCGCTGTCAATGCAGAAGACCATTCTCTTTGTATGCATCTTCCCTACGTGATTCAGAAGTATCTAAATGGGTTGTGGATTACTGTGTTCTTTCTAGGAGCAAATGGCTTGGCCAATCCTCGTGATTTTTTGATACCTGTTGCCTGGTATGAAGATCGCCAAGTACCAGGCGGTTACACTGTGATTAATAAATACCATGGCAATCTGTTTGCTGCCAAACAGGTAAGGTAGGAGTGTCAGTCTCCGGAGAGTGATTGAAGAGTTGGGAAGAACCTGTTGATGGCCAAGGCCAGCATTAGGCACTTTACATGGGTCCTTTCATCTTTATTGCATTACTAAGGCACTGCAAATTGGATACTCCTTGCCTTATCATAGTCTTGGAAACAGGTTGGATAGTGAAAATTAATTTGCCAATGTCCCAGTGGCAGAACCTGAATTAAAATCCCCATCTGTATGACTCCAAAGATTCCGCCCTTTCTGGTCATCCAGCAGTGGAAATTTTGGAATATACATATCTCTATAAATGGTATGGAAAACATAACATGTAGGCAGCATAACATGTTTTGTAAAAGAAAATGAGTTACCAGGAGGATCAATCAAGACTCAGTTACCACTCTGTTTCAAATACAACTAATTGTTGACACAAAACAAAGATAATTCAGTTAATTAGCTTGGCTTCAAGTCTACCAGAAGCCTAATAAATTCAGGACTTAATGGCACAGATAATAATCTAAAAATAATTTTTAAACAAAACATTTCATCCCTTCTGTGAGCTTGTCACATGCAAAAAATAATTAATATATAATCTATAATCTAATACTATGCATTTTTGTTTGTTTCTTGTGACAAGGTCTCATGTAGTTCAGGTTGGTCTTGAACTTCCTATGTGGCTGAAAATGACCTTGAACTCCTGTTCTTCTTGTTTCTGTCTCCCAAGTGATAGAATGACACCTATCATGCCTAGCTATTATTATGTATCATTGTTTAACATACTGAGTGTATAATGTTAGAATAAGTTAATAAATTAATCATATAATAAGAGGAATTGAAATATCTCTTGTTACTATTATTTGCTTGCTTTATTTTGTCTATTTGACTTACTGCCTATATTTGCTGAGCACATGTTAATTTCCTTGAATAGCATGTAGAGGTCAGGCCAACCAGCAGAGACAAACCAGTCTGGAACTTAAAATTAAGCCCTGGAGAAAACACATTGTCTTCCTTATATTCCCAGTGTCAGAATTTCTCACAAACGGTTCAGAGACCATTATATCAGGAGCCTTCAAAGAGGCTTGTTTAAAAGACTCATACTTAAGTTGATACTTCAACGTGGCAAAAATGATAACCTCAGAGTAGGAAATCTACATACATTTTAAGCATGACCACCCAAATTATTTTTATATACAACTGAACCACCACTATTGCAGTAGCCAGCAGCTGCTCCAGAAAGGTTTCCACTTCCTACTGGGCTGTTGTGATAGTTATTCTCTGTCTGAGTACCACTGGTTCATTTTCCTCTGCAATGGACTATGCCCTGGGAAACTGGCCTTTATGGATCAAATAATCTGGGCTCCTTAGTCTGCTGGGTTTTTTATAGAAATATTTTATTTGCTTGTTTGCTTTCATATGTATGAATGTTTTGCTTGCATTCATGTAAATGTACCCATGTGTACAATGCCCACGGAGACCAGAAGAAGGCATCAGGTCCTGTGGAACTGGAGTTGCAGATGGTTGTTAGCTGCCATGTGGGGGTTGAGAACTGAATCCAAGTCCTCTGCAAGAGCAGCCAGTGCTCTTAATCACTGAGCCATCTCTCCAGCCCTAGTGTACTGTTTTTTTCAGTTCAACCCACAGGAAATTGAGAGCAAGAGGAAAGATAAGTGGGATATTTTTCATTGCTTTCTCCCTCTTTGAGACAGCGCTTCTGGCATGATCTGGCTCTTGTTGGGTGGCTTCAGTGTGCTGGGGCCGTTTATTGCAACTTGTAAGAGCTGCTATGCCCACTTCTTCACCACCCTTGTTTTCATCAGTGTCACACGGGTACCTCAGAAACAGATCATAGTGCATAAGAAAAAGCACTCGACATTGTCTTCCACCATACAAAAAATCAAATTAAAATCACACTTACTGGGGGAAAAGATAAAAATCCTGGTGAGAATATTCATACCCCAGACATTGGTAAACACTGTAAATCAGAGCTTTGTGCCTACAGAGAACTAATTATTTATAAGCATGCCCTTCTTCATGGTTCTAGATCTTGCTAGAGTCCTATAACACTGATTTCTCCCTTATTCCCCATGCCTAGGAATTCCAATGCTTCCCACTGCTGTAAGGCTCAGCTATTCAGCACCTCTAATCACTCCACTTAGCTCAAATCACACCTTTGTAAGTAGTCTGTTCCCTAAAGTCTTTTTTCCCTTTAATCTTGAGAATTTCATATATATGTGTATATATATATAATGAAATATGATTAATTTGCCCCCATTTCCTCCTCTAGCTCCTCCCATATCCTCCTCAGCATGTCTGCCTCCCATCTTTATGTCTTCTTAAAAAAAAATATATATATATATATGTATATATATATATACATATATATATATATATCCCACTAAATCCAGTCAGTGCTGCCTACATGTTCATGGATGTGGGCCATCCACTGGAGCATGAGAATCATACCAATGACTACATCCTCAAAAAAGAGTGCTTCTTCCTCTCTCAGCAAGGCTCCACTACCAATAGCTGGCCAATAAGGGGTAGGGCCTGGAGATCATCTCTCCCATCTATGGTGGGATTTTGACTGGCTTGATCTTGTTTGCGTCTTATGTAGGTAACCACAGCAGCTAAGAGTTCATGAGGGTGAGTCATGTCATGTACCAAAGATGGCATGCCACAGCACTCCTCCCCATCCTCCAGCTCTTACATTATTTCTGCCTCCTCTTTGGAGATGGTCTCTGAGCCTTGGTGTGTGTGAGAGAGAGAATTGATATAGATATCCTATTTAGAGCTGAGTGTTTAGTTTCTTATTCTCAGAACCTTGACCAGTTACGCATCCTAAAGTCTTTAGAATATTGTAAATTGGATCCTCTTTCTTGAATAAATGCACAACATCAATGGGACCTTCTTCCTATAGCCTAACAGTGATGCCCTCCCCAGGACAAAACCAGGAAGGGCATTAGAATCATTCTGTAATCTTGAACACAGGCTGGGACTCTTCAGGAAGTCTTCTCCTTTCCCTGTGCTCAACAGCCCTGGCACTGTGTCTATGGGAAGTTCCTCTAGCCTACAAAACACTGGAGAATTGTCACAGCAAGTACCTGCTGCACCAGGAAACAGAGGGCAGCCCAGATTGGTTGAGAATTGCTGGTGTCTACAGATTCCCACAGTTATGTTAAAATTTAAAGGCCCTGCTCAGTGAATGTGCTGTGCTTCTGTTGCACATCTGATGAGAAGGCAGCTGCAGCTTATGAACAGGAAAAACAGAGTTAGTGGCTAAGTGAGGGCCTGGGAGAGGGTGTGTAAAGGAACCTCAGGATGGTTAAGAGTCCTGTTTTTCTATCCAAAATGATGATATAGCTAAATTAGAACAATATTAAATAAAAAGAGACAATTATGTCAGTACATATTGTAAGACCGCAGTTACAAAAGTATTACATGCTAAGATTGTGTTTCTCTGGTTTTGTGATTAGGAAGTCTCTCCATTTAATGTTGTGGCCTGGCATGGAAACTATACACCCTACAAGTACAACCTAGAGAACTTTATGGCCATCAATGCTGTGGCCTTTGACCATGCAGTAAGTCTGGACCATGCAGGGAGCCTGGGGATGGGGTAGCCCGTGGGTGGGAGGCGCCAAAGTATATCTGTGGTATTCAAAGAGCTAATGTTTCCAGCATCATCCTTGGAAGGCCTGGCACAATCATTTGTCCTTTGATGAAAGAGTAAGTTACATGGCTAATAAGAAACCCAAGAAGCAGTCAACATTCACCCATGAATACCATTTAGTTCTCAACAGAGTAATCACAACTCATAGATGGGAAAAGGAAACTCTTGACTACATAATAATGTAGTCAAGAGGAAATAAAGCATATGGATCTGGAGAAAGTTTGACCATCTTGCAAACCCAGAAATCTACTCTACTTGCTCTTTCTGCCAACCTGGGTGCTTCTGCTCCTACCTGTGGTTGGCAGTGAGGAAGAAGACAGTCTTCTTCTAAAGTTACTCATAAGGCTGAATGCTCGAACCTAAACCAAAAAAAAAAAAGGCCTAATGTTTGAACTTGGTCATATTTTTCAGTCAATTAGAGGACCTCAAATAGGTCCCTGGTCTACAGTACAGGCCCCTAAGGCCCCACATGCTTGATAAAGTGCTACTTCTGAGATCCTGAGGGAAAGTTCATTTTGCAGTCTACTTCATAATAGATTAACTTAACCCATAAACTGAGGGATAATTAGGGCAGAAGCCAGAGAATCAGAGATAGGATTACTCTGAGTCAATTCAGCTTATCTCTGGGGAGACAAAACTACCTTTCTGAACAATAGCAAATCTTAACAAAACCAAAGGGGAAAGAGAAAATCAAGATGCAAAGCCAAAAAACAACAGGAAGACTCACCCTGAGACACTGACAAACTTTTATTTGTGGCTCTCTACCTTTTCTGTCCTTTAATAGTTCCAGACCATTTCCCATGATAAATGAAGAAATGTTAACTCTATTAGTAATTACGATTGAGGTGTTTTTTTTTTTTTTTAATTTGAATTTACATAGGTTCAACCTTCTCTGTACTGCTGCTATAGTTATTTCCCCAAAAGTCAAATCTGATATCCCACCACTGCATTAGGAAACCTTTGCAGGCTCCCCAGGGTTTAGGATTAAGTCTGAGCTCTGAAGCGTGGCCTTTGATGCGCTTTGCCATCTGGCCCCACGGACTCATTTTCCAGTTCCACATCTTGCCCCTCTTTCTTTCTTCACTACACACTGGGTTTTAACCTTTTCTCCTCTTTACAAAATCTCTATGTACCTTGACATCTTTTCTATTTTCCCGAATAAAATCCCTCCCTCTCTTCCTCCTTTCCTTTCTTCTTTCCTTCCTCCTTTCCTTCCTTAATTTCCTATCTTCCCTTCACTCTTAAAGACTCGGCTCTTTTCTGGAGCTTTCTATGATCCTGTCAGAGGGGATGAGAGCAGGTATGGGGGAGTGTACAGTAATCAGAAAACATGTTCATGTGTGGAACTTTCAGCAAACAAATTCAACAAAAGTCATTTTAAAAAGAAATAGCCACTTTCTTCTTTCCCCAATTTAGGTTAAAGGGGCAGAGAATAGAGTTCCAATCAGATTCAAATTTCCATATTAACACAGCATCTGAAAGTAAACATTGGATAGCAATTAAACTGAATCTCAGTTTTCCACCTAGGAATCTACAGTTCTTTTAAAAGTATAGTCTTATCCTTCATCCTATCTCCCTCTACACTGCCATTATAGTCCACCATGGAGTGTTGTAGATTTGAGAGTTGTACAGCCAATCAAGAGTCAGAAGTAATTTGGGTTTTCCTGCCCATGGATTCCATCTGGAATCTCTGATGGCCCTCAAAAAAGCATTTCTGCCTCTACACTACAACTTTGATGTTTCGTTTGTTTGTTTCTTTCCTTACTCTGAGCATTCCTCCTGCCCCGAGCTCCCTGCCACCCATCCCAAGGTTAAAAGTCAGACACTCTTGCTCTCAGAGCTGTAGAGTAATAGGGCACCTTTAATATAGACTCAGCAGGGTGAAAAGGCAGCTCAGAATCCTCTTAGTTGGTGTGAATTCATTTTGCTTCAATCACAGCAAGAGGACAGTCACATGAGTGATTACTAGACCTCAACCAGAGCCCAGATTTCTAAACCTGGCCTATGTCATTTAATCAGAAACTGTCACTTGAAAAACACCTTCATGTGCAGGTGACATATGTGTCATTGTGCAGTCACCTCCCTTGGCATCTTACATTCAGTTTCTCCTTGTGTATTCACAGGATCCATCCATTTTCACAGTGCTGACTGCCAAGTCTGTCCGCCCAGGAGTGGCCATCGCAGACTTTGTCATTTTCCCACCTCGGTGGGGGGTTGCAGATAAAACTTTCAGGCCTCCTTATTACCACAGTAAGTCTCTTTTACCAGCACACACTTGGAAACTGGAGACAGCAAAGTAGTGAGGCACTGGGGACAATGGCCTGGTTGTTGTTGGACCCCCTGCCATGCCTGGTGTTTAGAATCTGGCCTGCTGAGCCTGCTGCTGTTTCCTGAGCTTTAAAAGCTTCTGACTGCACAGTGTCTGCAGGAAGGACAGGGATTCATCAACTCAACCTAGCTCCTGTTTCTCTGGGACTGAAGAGAGACAGAATGTTGGTGAAGTGTGAAGCAAGAAGTTTCTTTACATTTCAGATCTTTGTTTTGTTGTTGTTGTTGTTTTTAATATTTTATTTATTATTTTTATTTTATGTGTATGAGTGTATTGCCTGCATGTAGGTAAGTGCACCCATGTCGTGCAATGCCCTAGGAGGACAGAAGAGGCCGTCGGATTCCCTGGAACTTGTGTTACGGACAGTTGTTAGCTGCCATGTGGGTGCTGGGATTCGAACCTGGTCTTCCGCAAGAACAACCAGTGTTCTTAACTGCTGAGCCATCTCTCCAGCCCGTTTGTTGTTTTTTATTTTTCTTTTTGAATTTCTCTGTAGCCCCAGCGGGCTTGGAACTCATAGACTAAACTGACCTCTATCTCCCAGAGATGCACCTGCCTCTATCTCCCAAGTGCTGGGATTAAAGGTGTGCAGCTCCACCTGGCAGATCTTTTAAGAGTGGGGAATGGCAGTGATGTTAATTTGTTGTTTGAGGAAACTAAGTCTTGTTCAGGAGCCAGTAAAATGTGCCTTTTCTAATTATTTTGGCAAAACAAAGCAGATCACAATCTACACTATGAGATAGACTACTGTGGAAATTAGGATTTTTTATTAATTAAATTTGTTCTTTGGCAATTTCATACATATATACAATGTATTCTGATTACTCTCACCTCCACCCTCTCTGATCTCTCTTTGTCCTAGTTTGCTTTCTATTGCTGTGATGAAACAATAACCAAAACCAACTCCTGGAGGAAAGGGTTTATTTGGCTTACGTGTCATCTCAATCCCAGTCCTTCAGTCGGGGAGCCAAGGCTGGAACTCAAACAGGGCAGGAACCTGGAGGCAGGAGCTGAAGCACAGACCACAGAGGAACATTACTTACTGGCTTGCTCCTCTGGCCCATGCTCAGTCTGCTTTTTTATACAACCCAGGACCACCTGCCCATGGGTAGCACCACCCACAGTGGGCTTGGCCCTCCTACATCACTCAACAATCAAAAAAATGGCCTCACAGACACCTCCCAGGTGTGTCAAGTTGAAAACGGAAGCTGTCCAGCACGCCCTCATTCTCTTGTATATCCTCACCCCCTTCCCCACTAATCTCTGTCTCTGTCTCTGTCTCTCTCTCATTCGTGTCTGTGCTGATTAGTTTTTTTGTCAACTTGACACATACTAGATACCTGTAAAGAGGGAAATTCAACTGAGGAATTTCCTCTATCAGATTAGCCTGATAGTATGTCCATGGGGCATTTTTTTTGATTGTTGATTGATGGAGGGGATCCTAACCCACTGTGGGTGGTACCATCCTCTGGTAGGTGAGCCTAGGCTGTATTAGTCAAATAGATGACTAACTAGGGAGTACAAGCCAGTAAGCAACATTCCCCCATGGTCTTTGCTTCAGTTCCTACATCCAGGTTCCACCTTGAGTTCTTGCCCTGATTTCCCTCAATGGTGGACTGTCATTTGGAAGTGTAAGATTAAATAAACCCTTTCCTCCCCCAAGTTGGTTTTGGTTAGAGTTTTATCACAGCAACAGAAAGCAAACTAGGACAGTGTCTTCTCGTTTTGTTTGTGTCCCTCTGGATTTGGCCAAGGTTACCTGTGTGGTCTTGGGATTGGAATTATTCATTGGACTCTGATGGGTACACCAGTGGGTACACAATCTCTGGAGACACTGGCTCCTTCTGTCCCACAGTATTCTTTCTCTCCTTGTCCTTCAGCCTATCCCCCATCAGTAGCCTATAATTCAACAGTAAGGGGAAGGTTCCCATGTGCCCCTCCTCCATCCATGACTGACTGATGGGAAGGCCTGCCTGTCTTGGGTGGACTTTGTACGAGTAATTGCACCTGCTGTGACTTCATAATTGCATTGACTGTGTTGTGTAGAGGATGAGATTTTGCTGCCCTTCCTATCTTCCAGTTCTTTCTTTCTATCCCTTTCTCTGCAACATTCCCTGAGCCTTAAAGGGAGTCATATAAATGATTGTGTGACTCAGCCCTCATTTGTCACTTACTTTTAGCATCTTGGGCAGCCATGGGACTCTGCATTCACCATTGTTCACAGCAAATAGAAGCTTCTCTGATGAGGGTCTAGAGTAACCTTTCTTTAAGAATATAAGTAGAGCTGTTTAGAAAGCAGTATGACACAATGGCTACTTAGATAACTATTACGCATGGGTTCTTTTCTGGCAAGTCCAGAGTGGTTGGTTACCCTCATAACAGTCATGCCACTATTGAAAATGTAGGCACATCTTACTGGCAGGTTGATGTACAACTGGTACAGTTTGTACAGTTCACTGCTAGGTATGACCATTGATGCCTCTTCTCCCCAAACCACTGGCATAACACAGAAGGTGGTTCTTGAGAGTATTTACTGCCTGGACTAGGACTTAACAAATCCAATTTTTCTTCATTGTGTCTAGTGGCTAATGATTATTGACTAGTTTCTAAGGCCCTATTATAAGTTACTTAAAAGTATCATATCTTAGAACAGCTGCAAGAAGAGATAATATCAGTTATCCCCTTTTCTGTTTTCCAGAAGATGAGGCTGACACAGAGGGAATAAGTAATTCTCAAGGTCTCATAGCTAGTTAAGTGGTAGGGTCAGGATTTAATTGCAGATTGTCTGGTGCCAGAGCAGACATATGTGACTGCTAATTGTTGTGGCTAGTGCCATGGCCTATAAATAATACACATGCAGAAATATTTATTCAGTAAGATAATACATCACCAAGAATGAAGAAGGTACAGTATGACTATATTTAATGAGGTTGACATTTTTAATTGTGCAATAGCTAGATGAAAATTAAACTTAAAGGTCAACATACAATTCTGCTTCCAGGAGATTATATTTTTTTGAACATAGAGTTCTGAAGACTCTAAAATGCATTTCAGCTGGAACATTCTAGAAAACAAATTCTTTTCTATGTGAATTGCAGAGCCTTCTATTTATATGAGATTCCTCTCCATAATAGCTCCCAGGTACCGGAGCTCAGGGGTGCACAGCTGCACTGAATGGGCAATTCAAGCATTTGTGAGGTGGGAGAGTAAGGCCTTCAGGATGAAAGAAGGCCACTTCATGATGAGTTGACAGCCAACATGCCCTTTCAGGTGTCATCATCAAGACTGCATTTTCTTTTTCAAGTTTATTCTTGAGTATCCCTCATCCCTGACTTTAATTCATTGACTTTAAAGCAGAACCTAAGAGTCTGCTCTTTGAACTAGCAACCCAGAGGCTTCTGACACAGATCTACAGACTTTCTGCTGAGCAGTAGTAGAGGGTTTGTCTCCCCTCCTAGATAGAGAGACAACAGAGGAGTTAGATGTACTGCTGTGCTCTAGGTCACAAGCCAGTCCTTAATCTTGGTGAGTACTACAGACTGCCTTAGACAAAAGGGCCTTGTGCAATGCCTACTATAGTGTTTTAATGACCTAGCCCCAAATGCATCTCATAAAGATATGATGCCCTGGCTTAATGGAGGGGGGGGAACACAGAACTCCATTAGAAATTAGTTTTATCAGAGATATTAGAAATATTGCTTTAGCAATACTCAAAATCTTTGCTACTTTGATGTGACTTTAAGAGGAATTGGAGAATTATTTGTGTAGAAATATTGCCAAAGTCATTTTAATGTATCTTAGTCAATAAGATTGAGCTTTAATCAGAAAGGCAGGGTCTATACTCCCTCTGTCCTTTGAAATATCATCACCAAACTCATTGCTAACTAAATTCACATTCAGATGAAAGCCAAATTCCATCTTGCTCTCTTTTTTAAATTAAGCTGTGAAGGTGACCCTGAGCTGCAGGGAGCAGTGCGACAGCAAATTGAAGTTATGCGCGGAGCTGTTCCGAAAATACAGTCTTCGTGTTTCCATTTGTTTCTTTTCTGCTTCGTGGAGAGACATGTAAAGCTGTGACTAGGTCTCACTTTCTCCTTAGTGCTGCCATGGAGTCACTGGAGCCATGTAGGGCCTGGAACTGTGTTTTGGTTTGGGGAGGGGAAGGGTGGCTGTTTAGTTGATTACAGAAGTGTTACCGTGCATGCTTATATTCCACCTGTAAGGAAGAAGGGCCTTGACTATGTCAAGTTTGATTTTCAAGGGTTTCCATGGCTGTCTCTCTGCTGTCCATGATCCACACTGTCCACATTCTCACAGGACAGACTATGAGACACTTTAAGTTGGTTATTTCTTACTCCTATATATCACTGTCATTAGAATAGTGTCCAACTGTATATTCTGAAAATGAATGGATAGGTGGATGGGTAGGCAAATGAGTGAAGTGGGAAATGGACAGATGAATGGATAGATGAAGTTGGAAAGGCATTTATATTTATCCAGTGTTCTAATTCTTTAATTCCTTCTCTTATGCTGAGAGAGTTTATTTCAATAGAAACAAAATACCAAGAAAGTCAAAAGATGGTGATTTTGTCAAATTTTTTGTGACTCTAGAAATTATAGCTGGGAATTTAATTATGTAAAAGTTTCCATTTTAATACAGAAAATAACTACCTAACACCATGAACTTTTCAATAGAGAGTGTCCAGTCATAGAAGGCATGCAAGCAGAACCCAGGAAGTAATCTTTCAAGAATGATATAGAAGATCCTTCTGTACAGAGTAGAAGTAAGGATAATTTCCAATTTTCAGACAGAGTCTGGAAGAACAGAATAAAAGTACATCCTGGTCAGGTGTTATGATAAATACCGTGCATGTACTGTATTTATAGAGACCAAGGATCTGTCATCGGGTTATTATTTGATAATGAACTATAAGTCTAGAGTTTCTTCTGTAACATCACCTTCCATATGCACATACACACACACACACACACACGTGCGCGCACACACACACACAACTTCACTTTCTAGATTTGGAACTGTTAGATAAAAACGTGGCAGGGGTCAGGATCCCCAAGAAACAGAAACAAAGAGGACTCTGGCAAAGCGAGAGTTTAGTGGTTTGGCGGGGCTGGTCCTCAACTCTGGTGTGAGGAAGAACCAGCAGCCTAATGGCTCCAAGGGGGTAGCTTATAAAGGGAATGTGGAAAAAGAATATTTTTCTGCTGTTTGGGGCTGTTTGGGGGGCTGCTTGCTCAGAGAGGGTGTGGGGTCTGTACCTGGCGAAACTTATTGAGGAAACATCTACTGTAAAACATGTTTTCTACAATTACAGGGTTCCAGGAACTTATTGCAGCTAAAGGCTTGGGAACCCTGTTTGTCAGCCTGTGGAGCATGCTCTGTTGATCACAATACATTTGGTCATTAATACCCAAAGCTGCTTTGTTAGCTTGCAAGTAGCTGGGAGTTGGTTGACTCAGTTCCTCTTAGGGGCCTTATGGTTTCTGGGTCTTGGGTCACCTGGATCTGAACCCTATCAGGAGCCAGAAATGTGGCAACACCATATGCTACTATGTAATTGATGAATTTGGGATTTGGCAGGAGACCTGAAAATGTAGAGGATAAAATATATCCACTCTTTATTATGATTTTCATTCTTATTATTACCTTTCCCGAGTCCTGGTTTTCCCTGGATCCAGCCTAGTTTCATTCAGATAGCAGAACTGAGATCTTATAATCCACATGATCATGGAGTAGAGCTTTGCCTACCAAGAGCTCTACATTGGTGAATATTCTTTGCTTGTTTTGCTGTCAGCCTATGCTGTATATTGATCTTATAAGTTGTATCAGACCCTCCTAACCTCTTGGCATTCTGAGGAAATAATACTTGAGAGGCCTTGATGTCTTACTGGTCTTGCCTTCAATAATAAAATAATACTGCTTCAACCTTCCCAGGGAACTGCATGAGTGAATTCATGGGACTCATCAAAGGTCACTATGAGGCAAAGCAAGATGGATTCATGCCAGGGGGAGGCAGCCTTCACAGTGCCATGACCCCTCATGGACCTGATGCAGACTGTTTTGAGAAGGCCAGCATGGCCAAGCTGGTACCTGAAAGGATTGCTGATGGCACCATGGTAAGCAAACTCATACTCCAGGGGCCTCTGGGCTCCCCAAATATGTGGAGAAAAAAGTAGCTGCTTTTTATCTTTCTGAAGTCACAGAGGTGGAGTGAGGAGAGTTTGTGCCTGTATGTGTATGTATAGATGAATACATACTCCCTTCTACATATACTGGGCTTCTAATGTGGTAGGAAGAACTCTGAACTTGAAGTCAGACCAGGTTCAAATCCGAGCTCTTAATTCCTATGTAACATTTCTATACTTCATTTTTCCCATCTGTAGAATGGGTGTGCTATCCATCCCAGAAGATATCTGTGACTCGACCTCATGGAGTGTTCAATAAGTTCAAATGCAAGGGAATATTACTAAGTGAAGAGCCTTCTTGTGTCCTAATGCAGCCTTGGGTGTGTGCTCTGTCTCAGAGTATTCTGTTTTGGGTATTGTTCCTGGAGGACTGAAATAGCAGAGGAGGCAGGATGTCACCTTCAACCAGTTTCTAAAGAGCCAAGGAAGGTCAGGAAGCCTTTGCCTCACTGTCGTCAGGGCTTGTAAGCAGCAATTCTCCACTGTCTTCTCATTTTCTTTGTTCTGCTTTGGCATGGGATGAAACGGATGGGATTTAAAACCTGTTTTGTATTCCTCCTGTGTCAGGCTGTAAACATTGAAGCTGAACACAATTGCAGTTGGCTGTGGTACTTGATTTGATTTTATTTTGCTTTCTTGGAGGTAGACTTAATGGACCCCAAGAAATAATTTTATGCTAAACCATATGCAAATTTGCTTTACAGTTTTAAACAAATGCCTTCAAGGCTACATAGTTTAAAGCCTGCAACAAAGACCTGCTTGACTCTATGCCCAGTGTGTACACTACCTAAAGGAGAGTGTCAGCAGTCCATCTGTCCAATGTGGTTTGCTTTTTAGTCTCAACCCCAAAGCCAGAGCTGCTCTGGTGGAGGAAGGGATACAAAGTCCTTCCTATCATCTGGCCTCAACTCTATTTCCTTTTTCAAAGGCCTTTCGGGACTATCTCTAGGCCCCACACATCTCTGTGAGACACAGTTTGACGATCTTAGTTAAGGTATTGCTTCCAACAGCTCTTGAAAGTACATGAGCTTCCCTGTGGTTGTTCCTTAATTACCTTTGGACCTCCAAATGGGCTTTTGAAAGTCATGCTGCCGGGAAGCAGTGTCCCACACAGTGAAGCATAGGACAGAACTGTTTTCAGAAGGAGTGAGAATTTGAGTAATGGCTAAGACTTGGATTATAAGTGAGAAAGAGCTCGCCTGGTAAAAGGCCTAGGATGACAGGAGACTATCTGGATACCTGGGAGCCTAGAACATCTGGTAGGTGAGGACCCAATACTTTATCTAGACCTAACTTTATGTCCCCTTCATCGTATCTCATTATATAACTTAGACAAAGGTCAATCTGCTTTATCCTTATTCCAATGTGAAGCAATTAACTACATACAATCCTGGCTTCACAGCTCAACCAGTGAAGTTTCTAAGAAGCAGCCAACAGAAGACAACAATAATAATGGTCATAATTACTCTTATGTGTAATTAGTGCTTTATACCTTACATAACACGTCCCTGCCGTCTCATCCAATCCTCACACAAAGTCTGTCATGGATGTCAGGCAAAGATATTCACCTCCACTGATACAAGCAAAAGGAAATTAACACGAGACTCTATATATCAGTGTCAGTGCTCTGAACGGTGTCACAGAAGAATTATATGCTTTTTCTTTGGCCTGTCTATAGTGTTTTTAATTTCCTAATAAAAGCAGTAAGAATTGTAAGATTTAGATTATTTGTTCTTATTTTATAAAAGCTACTATGAGCAGAAAAAATCAGCAGATGATAAAAGCTGAAATGTCTAGGATATACAGAATATTCTTTCTGTTGTGGTCAGAAACCTCTAGAACATAATGGGGTATCCAGTTGTTTAGACACTTTGAGGACCATTTCCTCTCTACGCTTCCTTTTCTTTTTCTCAACTCTTGGTCATATTCTTGAGAAAGAAGGCTAAAATCTCAGTTCTATCATGACTTACTGCCTTAGACAAGCCATTTCCCAGTTCTGAACTTAGTTTTCTTCTTTGCTAAATGAGAGTATGCCCTCCCTCCCTCACAAGGACATCACCACAGTAAATGATAGTCCCTGAAAAGAATATCCCAGGATTTTCCCACCTTTGCCCTCAGAGCAAATTTACCTTCAGAGTTTCTTGAAAGCAATGTGAGTCCCACAAAGTGAAACTCAGGTCATGAGTAGTTCTTACATGCAGTCTCACTAGCTTATAGGCATAAGACCAGATCTATAACCAAGGGGCTGGAGAGATGGTTCAGCAGTTAAGAGCCCTGACTGTTCTTGGAGAGGATCCACAGGGCGTAGGTTTCCTCTCCTCATCATGCCAGAACGTTTTGTCTGCTTGTGCCATCTCTTACCATCTGATTGATTTTCACCTTACCTTCATTTTATTTCCTATAGGCATTTATGTTTGAATCTTCCCTAAGTTTGGCAGTTACCAAGTGGGGACTCAAGACCTGTAGTTTTTTGGATGAAAACTACTACAAGTGCTGGGAACCTCTCAGGAGCCACTTCACCCCCAAGTCCAGGAACCCTACAGGACCTAATTGAGATCAGAACCTTGCTACTGCAATAAGAATGGATTTATATAGTTTCCTTGAGAATCTCATGCCCTTTGGTGGTATGGAGGTGGGGGTTAAAAATCACTTTTCATAGTCAAGTAACTCAGAATATTTGTGGAAATGTATTTGGAAATTTCTGTGGCTATCAACTTAATTACTCAATAAATATGTAGTCTGTGGAAGTGGCAAATGATCATTTTCAAGTCTTGCTGGTTAGGATTGGCTGGTGGGCCAAATAAACTCATGAAATTTGAGTAAAGCTGGGGCCTTTCCTATGGACTTGTCCTGAAGTCTTCATTCTAAGAGCATAAGTCGAAGTATCTATCTGACACTATTGACCAGGAAGGATAGGACAAGCATTAGGACCATGAGCTGAGGCTGAATCCCAAGGTCAAACTCTTAGAAGTCAATCTGGGCATGGGGAGTTAAAGGGGTCTGCAGAGCTTCAAACAACCAGCTGTCAGCCAAAAATAAATGGACATCCAATATGATGGTATTGGACAAGAACCTCAACTACCAGAAAAAAAAAAGAATTAATTTACTCTAAGGGAGCAGTTGTCTGGGTATTATCAGATCTGAGTTGCCTGAATCTTTGCCACAAAGATCCTGTATCCTAGGAAACCCTTCAGCCTACTCAAGGTTGGACGGTTGTTCACTTTTCTATTTACTCATTGATCAATCCATTTGGTATTTATATAATGAGTTCCTACCACCAGCTGTGGTTCAAGGTGCTGGAGGTGACTGATTGAAAAGAAAGAAGCAAGGGCTGGAGAGATGGCTCAGCGGTTAAGAACACTCACTGTTCTTGCAGAAGACCTGGATTCGAATCCCAGCACCCACATGGCAGCTAACTAGGGATTGGTTGGAGAGATGCTCAGGGTTAAGAACACTGGTTGTTCTTGCAGAAGACCCGGGTTTGAATCCCAGCACCCACATGGCAGCTAACAACTGTCTGTAACTCCAGTCCCAGGGGATCTGACAGCCTCTTCTGACCTCCATGGGCATTGCACAACACAGGTGCACTTACCTACATGCAGGCAATACACGCATACACATAAAATAAAAATAATAAATAAAAAATTTTTTTTAAGTTTTACAAAAAGAAAGAAGCAGTCTTCTCCTTAGGGAACTCCCAGTCTGGGAAGACAAGGCCAATGGAAATTAACACTCAAGGATGAAGCCACAGTAAAAATGAGGCATTACTATATGGAAAGCTGAACCCAACAGCTCCCTTATAAGGTCAGCATTCCTCCCAGAGTTCTGGGCTACCCAAGATTTTGAAAGTGGGAAGATCTGCTAGCCAGAACAGAAATATGATGGAAAGTGATAGCTGTCACTGCTTCCGTTTTATAGGATTATCACAGTTCCACACTTTGTTGCTATGGCAGCAATTTTGATATGTTGCTACCAAGTTTTCCTCCAAGAATATGTCGTGAGAGTCAGCTGTGTGTCAGGACCCAGGCACTAGACTGCCAGAGAGAAAATCAAGACGCCCAGTTAAATTTAAATTTCTGATAAACCACAAATAAATTTTAGGGGTAAGTATATCCTATGCAATTCTGGACATCCTTATACTAAAAATTTATTCATGCTTATTTTATCTTCAAGATTAACTTAAAATCCTGTATTTCCCTTTATTAAATCTGGCAAGCTTACTAGGGATACAGGGATCAAGGACACAGACAATGTCCTGGCCTGTACAGAGATTGTATTCTAGTAAAGGAAGCAAACAAAATAAACAGACAAAATAATTACTAACAGTAAAGCATGCCAAGAAGAACACAAGCGAAATGAGAGCAACAGATGGGCTGGCATCAGCCTTTCTTTAGAAAGAAAGGTCTTCAATGAAGAAGTGACATGATGCCAGACCTAAAGGAGAGGAAGGAAGGAAGGAAGTCAGTGGGTGTTTGGGGGTGGAGGTAGGGTGGATGAGAAGAAGCATGCCAATAAAATCCCTTGTAGGTTCAAGGGACTGAAAGAAAGGTGGGTATGGGAAGCCGCTAAGAAGGAAAAACAACAAACCCCCCAAAAGTCACAGCAATGGAGGAAGAAGTAGACAGCTAGACAGCGAGCATGATGTTTAGGGAGGAACCTGAAAGGACTTGTAAGAGGTGATGGAACGAGGAGCTGAGGGCATGGCTAGGATGACCACTCAGTTTGTATTTTATGGTCTCAAAAAATAGATTAATAAGGTGTAGGTATGTTTGAAGATAAAGGAGGTTGATATGCCTTCCTAATGTTAATACAGCAGATTCTTTATTTTAAAATTAAACATTGTTAGCAAAGTAGCTGCTATCTTTAAATAAGCTTTAAAATTAACCGCTGGAGTCAAAGCTAACCCCCTCACTGTCTACAGATCACTGGATTCAACTACCAACACCTGCTACTCTGCCCAAGACCAGGTCAGAACTCAGCAAAAGTGCTGAGCAATGACTTTCCCTCTGACCCTGTGCCCTAAGGTTTATGTTGGCCCTGGTTCCCTGCAACTCTTGAAAGGATTAAGCTTTACATGGGCACACCTTACTGCTAGTACACTCCATATCCACTCCCTTCCCTTCTCATTCCCCCACTTTCACAGTGCTTCCTGGATCCCTTTCAACTCCAAACTAAGATCACCACTAAAGCAGTTCATTCACAAGACCCTCCATGAGCTCATTATAACCCTAACTCTGTGCCCCTAGGCACCTCAGCTCTGACCTTTCCAGGCACTATGTCAGTTAGGTTTCCATGCACTTAGCATTCAAGCCCTTGTACTTTATCCACCAACTTCTGGAAGCAACTCCCCACCCTGAGACAATATTTCACCCAGGCCAGACTATTCATGCTAATTAAAAAAAGATTTAGCTTCCTTCTGTGTGCCTCAGATCAGCTAGGGTAATTCGTGTCATTTACTTAATTCCTTGATCTCCAAGATGCTCCTCCCAAAAAAGAGCCATCTTTTTGCTTCTAATAGAAAACATTAAAGAACAAAAAGCATCCTCATGAGGTTCTTTCAGCTACTAAGAGCATTTTCTGGCAGCATCTCTGTATATTTTGCCATTAGAGAGAGTATGAGCCACTCTTCTCACTCTTTCTCCTGAAGGACTTCTGACAGTCCAGGCCCCTAACAATGTCCTTAGACCACAGATCCTCAAAGGGGCAATCTTATTTCTCTACCCCCAGCCTAACACATCCAGCAAAGTCTAGGGACATATTATGGTTGCCATACCTGGAGAAGGTACTAGCATCTGGTCCACTGATAAATACCCAGCAGTGTACAGAAGAGTCTCCCTCAACAAAGAACTTTACAATGCTAAATGTGAATAGGCAGTGGTTCTCAAAATCCAGTGTGCATGTGATGGCTTGGCAGCATTTAACTCCCAGTGCCCAGGATTTACCTCAGACTGACAAATTAGAAACACTAGGGATAGACCCAACTATGAGAACTTTAGCCTCAGGCTGAAAACCACTGTTTTAGAATATTAAAATCCACCAGGCATGGTGGCACACACCTTTAATCCCAGCACTTGGGAGGCAGAGGCAGGCAGATCTCTGTGAGATCAAGGCTAGCCTAGTATACATAGCAAGTTCCAGGCCAGCTGAGACTACAGTGAGACCCTGTCTCAAAAAGACCAAAAACAAACAAACAAACAAACAAACAAACAAACAAACAAAATCAGTAATGAAGGCACCCTCTCTTTCTAATCTGAGATCCTGGTCCATCTCATATTTTCCAAGGTCAACAGAAAGCAGGTTTGAAAAAAATCCCTAAGGTTCCAAGCTTTCCAGTAAATAGATAGTATGGCAGCAGTGTAGGGTTGGATATTACTTAGGAGGGAAAGTGGGCATTGCACATGTGGATGTGCTTACATACATGCAGGCAAAACACTCATGCATATATATATTTTTAAATTTTTAACTAAAAAAAAGAATACCTGTTCTGGAATCCAGTCTGTACTTGCATAGCCAAATGAGCTTGAACAAATGACAAGGTCCCCAAACCTTGCATTCTTATTGGAAAGGATGGAATGATTTAGTTCACAAGGATTTTGTGAGGGTTAAGTGAGATGATGCTATGAAGACACCCACATGGTTTTCAGCACATGGGCCTCATACTGGCCCATTGCTACTGTCTACTGTGACTCTTAGGACTCAGGGCATACTCAGTTCCTACATCAGGGAAGTGATGGTGCCATCTAGCTTAGGAGCTACTTGAAAGACTAAGCTGAGGTCCTTCTTCCTGAATAAATTAGCATCTAGCTGAAGAGGAAGGTGTGTGTCCTTCTAATGCAATAAGAAACAGATGTACAAAGTATGGGAATGTAGAAGCATTTTGTCCTCTTGTCAACTTTAGGCCAAAGAGCAAGAAACCATATCAAGTTTAATTTAAGATCTCAACATTGTATATTAATAGATCAAGTAAAGTGGAAGTTAAGATGGAACTTAAAGTGCTTTTGAAAACGGCAGTTTCCTTGTCACTGAGAGCTTTCCCTGGAGGAATCTTGCCTAATCATGAGACCCTTGGGACTCTCATTAGGCTAATCTAGATTTTTTTTAAATCTAAAGTTATATCAGGAGTTTCAGAACAACCCATGACAGCACTATTAACAGTAATACCTTGTAAAAAGCCAAATCGATACCATCTGATGGTCACTGTGAGAGAAATTTAACAAATGGGGAAGTTTTGTTCATTCATGAGTATTTACTGCCTATTTTGAATTCTGTGAATAAAATCTGAAAGATGTTTTATATATATAATACATATAATATATATATATGTCTTTTTTTGAGCAGGGTCTCCCTGTAGCCCCAACTGTCCTGGAACTCACTATGTAGACCAGGCTGGCCTCGAAC